GACGATAAGCATATTTGATGAGATCATCCAACTCATCCATGTCTACAACCCCATCGTGGTTGGCATCGGCATGGTGGAGCCCACGGGCGGCTCTAAAGGCAGGGATAAGTGCACCTAGACGACGGAAGGCTCGCTTTAGCTCTTTCTTGCTGAGAACACCGTCCTTATTGATATCGCACTCCATGAAAATTGCCCTCAACTGCTTTTCAGTGCTTGTCGGAGGAACATGTGATTCAGGGCCTCCAGGCTGAAAAACAGGTGTCTCACAAGTCACGATTCCTTTACGTTTGTCGACAATAACAAACCCCATGGCCCCGATGGAATAATAAGAAATTAGCTTAATTTGAACGTAAGAGATGTTTTCACGCTACGATTTTTGCACGTTTGAATGCAAGGCTTCTATATTTATATGGCTGGAGTACTCAATCAATCAATCAATTCAATAGTCCAGTCCATGCACACCGACTTATCTTTATGCAATATTCCATATAAAAAAATATTGCAAGTTTTTTTTTATTACAATATAAATATTGATAAAATTTTAACTTTCAGGTTAGAGTTTTTTTTTGTTTTTTCAAGAAAAATAAACAGTGAAGATATATTCATACCTTAAGGATTTAGATCAAGCATGACAGTCAAATCTTAGCATTTTAGGTGTGAAAAGACTAATAAACCTAGACATCATGAGTATGGTAGGGGCATTAAACCCATGTTAATTAGGTATGATAGGGGATGCAATACCAAAAATTTTTTTTAGTCTAGCACCAACAAACCCAAGTTACTTGGGTTTGGAAGGAGATCTCATATCTACAAAGTGAGTTTTATTATTATTAATAATAATAAATTTTAAAAAATATTATTACTATTGAAGAAAAAAATATAGATTTGATTTAAAAGATAAAATTAAAAACTATAAGAATTTGAATAAGACATGTTTATTATTATTATTAATATAATTATTAAAAAAAATTTAAAAAATATTATTACTATTGAAGAAAAAAATATAGATTTGATTTAAAAGATAAAATTAAAAACTATAAGAATTTGAATAAGACATGTTTATTATTATTATTAATAATAATAAATTTTAAAAAATATTACTATTAAAAAAATAGTGATAAAGTAGTTTGGCATTGCTATATTTAAGGAATTAAAGGGACGCCATATCCAAGTTACTTGAGTATAAAAAAGGATACTACACCAAGAAATTTGGATTTAGAACTTTTATATTGAAGTAACTCGGATTTAATATGAATATCAACCTAAGTTATTTTGGCCTAAAAATTGATTCTAAGCTCAAGAAATTTGGGTGGCCGAGGATGCTATATCTAAGAATTGAGTTTTATTATTATTAATATTTCTTATTATTCTTATTTTTTTTTGTTTTCTTATTATTATTTTTAAATTTGTGTCTATCACAGC